CACCCCAAAATCACCCCAAATCACCCCAAAAACACCCAAAATCACCCCAAAATCACCCCAAAACCACCCAAAATCACCCCAAAATCACCTAAAACACCCCAAAATCACCTAAAACACCCAAAATCACCCCAAAATCACCTAAAACACCCCAAATCACCCCAAATCACCCCAAAATCACCTAAAACACCCAAAATCACCCCCAAAACACCCAAAATCACCCCCAAAACACCCAAAATCACCCCAAAACCACCCAAAATCACCCCAAATCACCCAAAATCACCCCAAAACCACCCCAAATCACCAAAAATCACCCCAAAATCACCTAAAACACCCAAAATCACCCAAAATCACCCCAAAAACACCCCAGAAACACCCCAAATCACCCAAGATCACCCCAAAATCAATCACCCCAAAGTCACCACACAATCGCCCCAAAATCAATCACCCCCAAATCCCCCCAGAATCACCCGGGGCACCCCACAATCACCCTCAGGATTTTTGGGGTTCCCGGGGATTTTTGGGGGGTTTTTGGGGTTCCCAGGATTTTGGGGTTCCCGGGATTTTGGGGTTCCCGGGATTTTGGGGTTTTGGGGTTCCCACCTTTGGGGTTGTCGCGGGTGTCGAACTCGAAGAGCTTCGTGGGGCGGTGGGGGAAGGAGAAGACGTAGAGGCGGCTCTGGAGGGCCACCACCAGCCTGGGATCCCAGTTAAACCAGTTAAACCAGTACATCCCAGTTAAACCAGTACATCCCAGTTAAACCAGTGCATCCCAGTCAAACCAGTGCATCCCAGTCAAACCAGTTCAACCAGGACATCCCACTTCAACCAGTTCAACCAGTGCATCCCAGTACATCCCAGTTAAACCAGTACATCCCAGTTAAACCAGTGCATCCCAGTTAAACCAATGCATCCCAGTTAAACCAGTTCAACCAGGACATCCCAGTTAAACCAGTACATCCCAGTGCATCCCAGTTAAACCAGTGCATCCCAGTTCAACCAGTGCTCCCAGTTCAACCAGTGCTCCCAGTACAGAACACACAGACGCGGCTCTGGAGGGCCACCACCAGCCTGAGGACAACCAGGACATCCCAGTTCAACCAGTTCAACCAGTTAAACCAGTACATCCCAGTACAACCAGTACAGAACACATAGAGGCGGCTCTGCAGGGCCACCACCAGCCTGGGGAGGGGATCCCAGTCAAACCAGTTCAACCAGTTAAACCAGTACATCCCAGTCCATCCCAGTTAAACCAGTGCCTCCCAGTTCCCTCCCAGTCCCTCCCAGTTCCCTCCCAGTCCCCCCCAGTCCATCCCAGTCCCTCCCAGTCCATCCCAGTCCCTCCCAGTCCATCCCAGTCCCCCCAGTCCCTCCCAGTCCCTCTCCCGTCCCCCCAGTCCCCCCCAGTCCCCCCAGTCCGTCCCAGTGTGCCCAGTTTGCCCGTCCCAGTCCGTCCCAGTTTGCCCAGTTCTCACCGGTCGTGCCGCATGCGCACGGCCAGCACGGGCCGGGGGAAGCTGAACTCCAGCACGAGCTTCTCCTTCCCCTCGCGGGCGTCGTCCCAGATCAGCACTGCGGGCACGGGGGCACCCCGAAAATGGCACCCGGAATGGGCACCCCGAGATGGGCACCCCAAGATGGGAACCCCAAAATGGGCACCCCAAAAATGGCACCCGGAATGGGCACCCCGAAAATGGCACCCGGAATGGGCACCCCGAAATTGGGCACCCCGAGATGGGAACCCCAAAATGGGCACCCCAAAAATGGCACCCGGAATGGGCACCCCGAAATTGGGCACCCCAAAATGGGCACCCCGGAATGGGCACCCCGGAATGGGCACCCCGGAATTGGGAACCCCGAGATGGGAACCCCAAAATGGGTGCCCCAAAACGGGCACCCCAAACTGGCACCCCGAAATGGGAACCCTGGAATGGAAACCCCAAAATCGGGGATACCCCGAAATTTGGGATACCCCGAAATGGGCACCCCGGAATGGAACACCCCTAAACGGGACACCCTGATAATGGGACACCCCAAAACGAATACCCCAAAATTGAGACACCCCAAAATGGGACACTCCAAAATGGGACACCCGGAAACTAGGACACCCCAGAATTGGGGACACGCCAAAACTGGGGACACCCTGAAACGGGACACCCCAAAACTGGGGACAGGGACAGCGGCACTGGGGACACCCCCGGGTCAGGGGGACACCCCAGTATTGAGGACAGGGACACCCCAGCACTGGGGACACCCCGGAATTGGGGACCCCCCCGCTTTGGGGGATCCCTCAGGGAATTTGTGCCCCCCCCGGTTTTGGGGATCCCCCAGGGAATTTGGGGACCCCCCCGGAAATTTGGCTCCCCAGGTTTTGGGGATCCCCCAGGGAATTTGGTCCCCTCGGTTTCAGGGTCCCCCAGGAAATTTGTGCCCCCCAGTTTGGGAGACTGCCCCAGTTTTGGGGACCNTGGGATGTCTGTGCAGGGCCATGGAATGAGCACTGCCAGAGCTCCAGGAGCCTTTGGACAGCGCTGCCAGGGATGCACAGGGTGGGATTGTTGGGGGTCTGAGTAGGAGCTGGGCTGGGTGATCCTGGTGTGTCTCTTCCAGCTCAGGGTATTCTGATTCGATGATGATGGGGCAAGGCTACCGAGCAGATCTTGAACCAAACAGAGCCAGCACCAAGCACAGCCAGGATGTGTTTGGAGAATTGTTTCCTTGGGGTGATTACTGGATTGGATTCTGGTGAGGATTGTTTGAGCCTGGTGGCCAATCCAACCCACCTGGGGCTGGGCTCTCAAGAGAAAGTCAAGAGTTGTGAGTTAGATATAGTAGTTAGAAAAAGTAGGTTTGTAGTTTTAGTATCTGCTTAAATTGTATATTAATGTATTATAGCATAGTTATAAAGAAATCTTTCACCCTCTGAACTGGAGTCCGACACCATCATTTCTTCCCACTGGACCCACAACAAAAATATTGCAAGTCCTGCTCCTGAAACAGACCGACCAAACCCAAAACGTGCTCCCAGCAAGGTGCTTTTAGCCACCCATAAAACAGACAGGGAATAAAAGGCTTTGCTGGACCACTGCTAAAGCTTGCTGTCAGTATAATCACCTACTACTATAATGAGATTACATGGATTAGCTGCATTTTAAGGAAACATCAATGGGCTGGATAGCCTTTCCAGGCAGGTTTTTAGAGCTGCATGGGATAACACCGGAAAAACCGGGAGGCTATTTTTAGGAAGCATTTCTCCAAATAACCTGGGCGGATCACAAGGCAGCAGAGGTGAGCTAATGCGGGCAGGAGATGGATGAATGAAGGCTGCAGAGGGGAACAGATCCACCCCTGGTCTCCCTTGGCCGAGCTGCACGTATTATTTTATATTACTATGCACAGATTAACGGAGCCGGACCCAGGCTGGTGTTCCTGCCATGCAAGATGGACTGGAGGCTGGAGGGGAACGGGAGCACAGCACGCACTGAGCACGGCTGAGCTGGGAGGGAGGCCACAGCCCTCCCTGGCTGCACGCGGGGCAGCTCCCAGGAGAACATCCCCAAAATCCAGCCTGCAGTGAAGACTTCCCCAAACCACGGCATCCATCACCAGGCGGGACCCACGGCTATGTCCCAGCAGCCCAGGGATGCCCACGGTCACCTGGAGGAACAGGGATGCTGTGCAGGCATCCTCACCCAGGAAATCCCACGCCCACGTACTCCCACTCATTTTCTCCTCGGGATTTAAGAGGAACTCTCAGGCAATCTGATGTTTTTTTCCTTCCCCCATTGCTTTTTGTCCTTGGAGCTTACTCCTACAAAATACCCATCGACCATCCAAAATAAACTGCGCACCTCATTTTCCAAAGTCCTCTCCTCTTCCTTTCCAGCACGGATCCAGCCTGGAAGCCTTGGGGAACTGTTTGAGGACATTTTGCTCCCCATGTTCCACCCAGCACCTTCTCCCTCTCGCTGTGACTCAGCCAGGGTCGTGAATAAAACCCAATTAGGGATTAAACATCAGAGCAGCACAGCAAAGGGATGGCCTCTACCCCAGGCAGCTCACAGCCTGGGATCTTTAGCTCCCACCATGGTGAAGCGACAAAAATAGCCCATTAAAAAGTCACTTTAATTGCCTTGCCAGCGGTTTGCACAAACTCCAGCGAAAGCTGGAGGTAAAAATGAATTAAAAGCCTTAAATAGAAAATTCTCTTTCATAACTCCCACTTTTGCCCTTAAATTTTAATGGGGTGGTGGTGAGGGAGGAGGTACATCCAGGCAGTCCTCCAGCCCCCCTGCAACAAGGACCAGCCTGGGTCTGATGGGTCTGCTCCACCACGGGCTCCTGCGCAGGCACCCAGGCTGGCCCGGGACAGACACCCAGGCTGGCCTGGGACAGACACCCAGCCTGGCCTGGGACAGACACCCAGGCTGGCCCGGGACAGACACCCAGGCTGTTCCGGGACAGACACCCAGCCTGTCCCGGGACAGACACCCAGGCTGGCCCGGGACACACACCCAGGCTGGCCCGGGACAGGCACCCAGCTTGTCCTGGGACAGACACCCAGGCTGTCCCGGGACAGACGCCCAGCCTGTCCTGGGACAGACACCCAGGCTGTCCCGGGACAGACACCCAGGCTGGTCCAGGACAGACACCCAGGCTGGCCCAGGACAGACACCCAGCCTGTCCTGGGACAGACACCCAGGCTGGTCCAGGACACACACCCAGGCTGGCCTGGGACAGACACCCAGACTGTTCTGGACACCCAGGTTGTCCTGGGACAGACACCCAGGCTGTCCCGGGACACCCAGCCTGTCCTGGGACAGACACCCAGGCCAGCCTGGAGAGCCAGGCCGGCCTGGGACAGACACCCAGGCTGTCCTGAGATACCCAGCTTGTCCTGGGACAGACACCTAGGCTGCCCTGGGACAGACACCAAAAGTATTCTGGGACACCCAGGCTGTCCTGGACACCCAGGCTGTCCCGGGACAGATGCCCAGCCTGTCCTGGGACACCCCGGCTGCTGCCCAGCACAGCTCAGGCAAACCCTCACGCTCACATTCCTCAGGCCAAGCGAGCCCTAACCAGGACAGCAGCATTCAGAATCCTGCACCAGGCTCCCCCAGAGCCCTGGAAGTTCTGTCCTACGAGTGCTTTGTGCTCCGCAGCCCCTGCCCAGGGCAGAATCCCAGAGGATCGGGCGCTAACGCACACGTCCCAAACGCCAAGAGCTGCGTGGTGTGGAGCCAACCAAGGATTTTTGGGAATAACAAACAAGGCCTGTTGGTAAAAACACAAGAGATGGGATGGAGAAGGGGCCATATGGAGGCAGGGCAGCCTTTTCTGGGACACATCTACTGGTTGTGGCTCCTGCAGAAAAGCACAACCCAGCTCAGCACAGGTGCAGGGATGGAACTGAGAAGGACCAGGCACTGTAGTGGGGAACGAGCCCATCCGAGACCCCAAAGCCTCCAACCCATTTCCAGATCTGAAAGAACTGCTGCGAATGAGAATGACTTGCACAAAAAGTGGGAAACTTCTCCCCAGGGAGTGGAAGATTTAAATGTGCCCCACAAAGCCCAGGGCCCCAGGACATCCCATTAACTGGATCGACACTGGAAGCAGGACTAGTGATCTCTCTCTTCTTCTGTCTCACTCTCTCTTTTCTTTTTAATTCATCTCTTTCTCTTTCATCTTAGCCCTCCATCCAAGCCCCACTGCTGCCTGCTCATACTGGAGATCAAGCACCAACACGTCAAGCCAACACCACAACCCACCGAAGATCTCTGTGAGATTTTGCTGTTCCTCTCAGGGTTCCTGCAAACCCTGGGCGCTCCCTTGTCCCTCGGGGTGGGACGCCACGCACAGCACTCCCTGTCCAAGCTGGTTCTGGCATTTATTTAGATAAATATTGCTCTGAAAAGTCCCTTCTGCTCTGCCCAGGACCATGGAAGAGCCATCAGGATGGAGCAGTTTCACAGCTTCAATCCCTTCCTTCACTTTTGGCTCCAGTGGGCAGCAGCAAGACCATTTTGCAGAAGGAATTGCACCAAGGAAACCTGACTGAGGGGTTTGGTTTCCAAATCCCAGAGACTCACTTTTTTTTCCTCCCCTTTCTATCTCTGTTGCTCAAAAAATCCTCATGTTTCCGAAGCGTTCTGCAGCTCTTACAGCATTTTGCTGGGATGAAGAAAAGCTGGCACACATGTCACGGCAGCAAAGATTGGTTTTGCTGTCTGGGCCCGGGGTCAGTGGGGCTGCCCGACCCCTCAGCCCCACGAGAAGCCTGAGATGAGCACAAGCACCAGCCCGGGCTCCTCCACAGGGAGCAGGAGCTTCCCAAAATTTTTGTTTTCCTGCCTGTCTGCCCAGCCGCAGCACTAATGCTGCCACTGCTCCAGGGATCTACTGGAACACACGAGGTTTTCCCGTCCTGAAAAGATTACGAGTGCAGGATTTCCTCCCAGCTGCCTCTCCTTTTTCCACAACACGCTTGAAGCAGACAGCAATTAGCTTCCCAGCTTGGAGACAGGTGATTTTTATTTAACCTCAGACCCATCTTCAGCAGAAGAGATCAGGGGCGCTCCGAATGACTCAAAGAGACAAAGTCTCTAAAAGCCTTTCCCAAAAGCAGATTTGCCTCCAAACACGGGAGATAAGGAGGCTGTGGGAGAGCTGCGATGGCTCCAGCCCTGCCTGCAGGGATTTTGGGAGCAGGAGTGGCCAGCAGGGATTTTGGGAGCAGAAACAGCCAGCAGGGATTTTGGGAGCAGGTGAGGCCAGAAAGGATTTTGGGAGCAGGAGTGGCCAGCAGGGATTTTGGAGGCAGGTGAGGCCAGCAGGGATTTTGGAGGCAAGTGAGGCCAGCAGGGATTTTGGGATCAGGTGAGGCCAGCAGGGATTTTGGGAGCAGAAACAGCCTGCAGGGATTTTGGGAGCAGAAACAGCCAGCAGGGATTTTGGGAGCAGGTGAGGCCAGAAAGGATTTTGGGAGCAGGTGAGGCCAGCAGGGATTTTGGAAGCAGAAACAGCCAGCAGGGATTTTGGGA